GGAGGAGAGCATAGCCAAGGCAAGCTCTGCTGTGGAAAAGGGAAGGTCATTGGCCATTGGGCCCCTCTTCTCGGCCCCCCTCAGCCCCATCCTGCTGCCCATAATAGCCGTTCTGGTTAGAGTCCAATTGGCAGGAGGAAGTCAGTCCGTTGCCATAGTAATGGAGGTTGGGGTGGGGGTACTACAGCTGAGACATCTGGGGGATTTAATCTAGGCTTCATTATTATTCATCTAATTAAATCAGAGACACACTCACTCTCAGGCACACGCACACACCCTTAAACACCTCTGCAGCTGCCCCGCTCCACCATTATTACCCCACTCACAGATACAACAACACACCAAGACACACGGCAGCATGCATTTGACCAACTATTAAGGCATAAACACCACTTTGTAAAAGCTTTAACTATATGCACTCTATGTGGTTTACAAAAGCAGAAAGAATTGAACTGAGGTGACACAGTGCCATATTTGACTGAACATAATCACTAACGCTCCACAATGACTCTTCATACATAATACATACCTTTGACAGTGACATGAACAGTCTGGTTGATTGACACTTGGGGCTGGATCAGCACACTACACAAGTAGGTGCCCTCATCAGCTCCCTTCTGTACATCTGTCAAACGCAGAGTGCCATTCTCAAATATCACTTGGCGATGATTATCGGGCAGCTGCATGCCGTCTTTAAGCCACTTGATAGAGTAATAGGGGTAGCCAATCACACGGCATGTGATATAGGTGTTTCTGCCGGCCACTGCTGTGATGTCCCGCATGGGTCTGATTCGGGGTGGACCTGAGGACAGGGGGAGTGGTGGGGGGTGGGGGGTCGGATGATCGGAGAGGTAGGAAAGATGAGGTATGCCAAAGGTCAGAGGTCATGGCAGGAGCAGCAGAAAAGAAGGAGGTGATACAGGTTGGGATAGAGTGATTGGGTCAAGTTGACAAGTGGAGTGGGAGGTTAGTTAAGCTCCATACACACGTATTTGTTATTTCTGTCTTACCCTTTAACCTTACTGGGCCCAATAACAAATATTTTTGCTTTCATTAAAGCTTCACAAAAGCCAAAGTTTTAGCTTCAAAGCTAAAAGTCACAAAAAAGACACCAGTAGAAGCATATATATATCTTCACTACAGGAAAGTTTTCAAAATCTATATAAAGCCATGTAAATTACTTTAAACTATCTGCTCTTTTTTTTAATGTAGTCAGGTGTGAAGTGCGTTTATATTGAAAAACAGACAGGCACCTCTTACGTTTATGCGCGCTTGGTACTCTGCGCTACCCGCCGAGTTGCGTGCGACACAGCGATATACTCCTCCATCTCGAATGAGTGGGCTGCTGACGTTCACATGAGACACGGTCAGGCCGTCCGATAGCGTGTACTGGCTAGTCTTGTAGGTGGAGTCTCGCACCACGGGCTCATCGTCCAAAGTCCAGGTGATGGAGGGTGGAGGAGCTCCTTTTGCGCTGCACATGAGAGAGAAAGGCTCGCCAGGGTTGACCACACGCTCACTGAAGGAAGACACAATACGAGGAGTTCCATCTAAAAGGTTAAAAAAAAAAAGAAAGTTATAACACAGCGTATTTATAGTTTTCATACTTGATATTAAACACTCACTGGAGAAATTATCAACTATTGTGGACACCTGAACATTTTATTTCACTCAAATATTCTGTTAATTTTAAACAGAATGAGCAAAATGACATGATTACTCAACACTGTCTTGCACCCTATAGCACCAAAACTATAAGTTTGAAGTGCCAAAATCTAGTTTAGGCTTGTACATATGTTGGATTATACAACGTTTCAGTACACATACCCTCAAGTAAAATAATGGAGAAGTCCTGAGAGGTGTGGCCCTTTCTGGTGGCGAAGCATTGGTACGCCCCAGAGTGTAACTTCTGAGCTGCAGTGATCTGAAGGGTGTCATTGTGCTGGCCCTGGATGGACATGTGCTGGTCTGGGACAATGGGCTCTGTGTTTCGATACCAGCTGATGGTGTATTCAGGGGAGCCCTCCACAGAGCAGGTGAAGAAGAGCGTACTACTGATGCCCGTCTTCAAGTTCTTAGGGGACAAGGTCACTCGCAGGGGGTCTTTGGAAGGGAAAACATAAAACATAGGAGGCAATAATATTAATAAACATTAAAATCAAATTATCAAAACACTTATTACAACAACTTAACACAACAAAATTATGTAATTTTTGCATGTCTCACATTAATTATTTTTAACCAAAAACCATGACGTATGACTTTAGTGAGCATTATCTTTGTGAGAGAATAAGGGGGAGTGAGGCACAATCAGCGGCACTGACTCAATCAGTTGGACACGCTCATTAAAAAGCAGCTGGAGATATCTCTTCACATCTTTGTCCACTTCTGTGTGTGAGGCGTGTCTATGTCATATATGTCTATGTGCAAAATGTCAATGAGCAATAAGGCAGCTGGTGGTGTGTGCTGGGGGGCATGGCTGTACCCCCCCACCCTGTCAGAGTCACAGAGTGTGCTGCCATGATGTGCCCACTGGCAAATCCTACGTCTTGCTATCCTGCACTCTGTCTAGCCTTGTAGCACTTTCTGTTTTATTGAATGGCTCCCACAATCCACATTTATCTCCACCCATTTTTATTATTGTGTTATCAGATGGCAGATAATGTCATTGCTGTAGTGTTTGGATGTGAGATTGTCTCCCCTCTGACCCTCATCTTTATCTTTGTCATCCTCACAGTCCTCTCTCTGATGATGACTGCTGCTGGCAGCAGTATTAAGGATCCAGTCTGAGTGAATTACTGCCCTGTCTGGGGTTTAGAGAGCTGATATGACAGGCATCACATGACTTACACACATGTTTGTCACACTTGAGGTGAAACTTATACATGTGCCTCAAAGCTCAAGTAAAACCGGAGCTTGACTTCCTGTCTGCCAGAGGTGGAGAGGGAGTGTGGCAGCTCATCTGCGTGTATTTCTCACCCACCTATAACATGGAGCTGTCCAGACACCTCTTTAGAGCCAAAGCTGTTGGTGACCTCACAGGCGTAGCTGCCACTGTCCTCCTGGCGCAGGTCGCTGATGGTCAGTCCAGTCAAACGCCGAGTCCAGCGGGCGTCTGAAGGCAGTGGCCGGCCATCTTTGAGCCAGCGCACTGTGGGGCTGGGGTAACCTCCTGCTATGCATGGGAGCTCGATGCTCTGACCTGCGTACACCTCTCCTGCTTGAAAACTGTCTAGGATGGTGGGAGAGGACTCATTGGGGTCTGAAAGAAATATGTTAGATTACACATAAAGCTTTAACTCATTTAAGTAGTATTGTGACTTGATTCTTACCCATAACAGAGAGCCTGGCTCCATTGCTTTGGCGTGTCTCGCCACTGTACTTGTGTCTGGTAATACACCTGTAGGTGGAGAGGGCATCCTCCTTCTGAACATCTGAGATGTACAGAGCGCCAAAGGAGGTCAGAGAGAACCTGTTACCTGACAGACAGAGAGATAAGAGATTACATATTAATGTCATACAAACATACATCAAAGCAGGATGGTCACTCTGGTACAAATATATTGTGTACAATGCAAAAACATATTGTGTTAAGGACAAACAACTGCTGAACAGTTGGCACTACCTGAACTCCTAATGTTGTGTCCCAAAACCTGGCAAATTATCAAGGGCTAGAGGACACACAGCGGTCGCTAAGCACCAGCAGACAAAGCAGAGACAGACCGCACACTGTGCTCAAGTATGGAGTCACCAAATCACATCTGGGAATAATTTAAATGCATATTTATATTATTATATACATACCACTGCAACTGTGATAAATATTGTATTATTGCCCATGATTAAATGTACTGACCCATTAATAGACTGTTTTAGGCACACCTACATATTTACCATTAATAATTTATTTTTAGCCTGTGTGTTGACCGAGACTCCTCAGGGTGAATGGGTGCACATAGGTAGCAGTTATGGACTGTGCATGTTTGCATGGTCTGAGAACAAGCTCAGGCTGCAGTTTCACAGCTGCTTTTGTTTGTCCCCACAATGAAGTCTTACAGGATAATAAGCACTTTAGTACTGCACCTCCCATAACACCCACCATTCGCCTGTCACAACACCCTGACACAGGCGGGGAGAGTCAGCTGGGTCTGTCAAAACCACACTTTCAGACTTAAACAACTATTCATCTGATTTGCAGCATTGTATTGAAAATGGTAGTAATCTTGTTCACACATGATTTCTATAGGTCTTTACGGACAATGTTTGGACTGCTTTAGCTGTAGCTTGCAGTCACTGAGCAGAGTGGCAGATGGAGTAAAATATTAATTACTAAATCAGTGTGCTCCCTCAGCTTTTATTCATGCTGACTTGACTAGATAACGAGAAACAGAGCCAATGTTTCACATCATGTTTGAGCGCAGACGGCTACAGCAAAACATGTACAAATGCACAATGAGGCTGTGCAGTTTCTGTTGACATCCACACAGAGTTTTTAAATAAGCAGTCAAGATCTTACAAGTCTAACAAATATCTTTCTTTCTATAATACTGCATTTATTACATTACTTGCTACACTACATTCACAATGCATAATCTTTACATAGTAAAACTCCTACGTATCTATAATATTTATTTTCATATGTCTTTACAGCTAAAGACAATTTCATGAATGATAACTAGAGTGGTGTTTTGGTGGCTTACACTGTCCCATGAAATGGAGGAGCTAAAGGGCCCTTGTAACTAAAAAATAGAAGCACTCATGGATCCACAAATGGCTCCACAGGAACCATTTAGAGGTTCAAGTATTTTTTATCAAATATAAATGCTTTTATAAAGAGTTCTTTCACGCAGAAAGAAGCATTACTCAAAGACGCTCCATTGCCCTGAGGATTGTAGGATGTTGTTTGGTAATAGTCACATAGAAGTCCATTCAGGGTAAACTTGCCTTGCAATGAAAATAAAATGAATACTTCTGGTCTCAATAACAAAATTATATATTTTTAAATTTGAATCTAATCTTTTAAATGTTTGCTTTAAAATGTTTACTTAACTTTGTTGTTATTGTTTTCTTTGAACCATGGTATTTATTTCATATAAGGTTCATATTGAAAAGATCTACTTGTGATTCCTGTCTGAGTTCTAAAAAGATGCATTTCTCAATAATTAATAGTGTATGGCCTTTACAGACCTCTCTGGAGTAATAAAAGTCTGAGTCATTTATTGGATTTCTGAAACCAACACATAGCCTTTTGACCAGACTATGAAAACTATGGCAATGGAGGGAAAAAGGTAAATAAGGAGAATACAGACGTTTAACAAATATGTAAAATAAAGACGTGACACTTGGTCTATAAATAGGGCTTATACTGTAGCCAGTGTGAGTTAGTAGCAGCCTCATTTTCTCACATGCAAATGAAGGCGTCGGCGCACAGATAACGAGGCCCATATTTCCACCTCCTCAGTGGGGCCATTATTTATTGATGTTCTGCATCTTTCCCCCCTCCCTCCCTCTCGCTCTCACGCTTTCTTCTTCCTCTCCCTGTTGCTAGGGTCTTCTCACTGCCATCCTGTTTAGTTTTCAGCATTAGCAATTATTAAAGCACAGCGTGTTTACAATCAGCAACACTGAGGCATTAAGGTTGTTTGTGGCACTACGGTGTACAGTGGTAAAAGCGTGCAACTGGCAAATGATGGTGGAAAATGAAATTAATGGGAATGTAGTAGCGAAGTGAGGTGGCTAAATATAGCCATGGGATGCAAATAGGGTTTATCCAATCACAAATATTTGTGAAAACTCCACTCTGTTTCTGTTTTTAGAGCATCAACATTAACTTTAATTTGTTCACATTATACAATACTGTTTTATTTAATAACTCAGAACTTAGACAGTTTAGGGTCTGAACAAAAATAAACAGTTTAAATTTTATTGGAGATGAAGGTGATTTTTGACTTTGAGGTTTTTGTGACAAGTATTGCATTTGCAATTGGATTAGCAAATTATGTTTACAGTTACATCTATGAGAAAACTGAAATATATACTGCTTCACTTATGAGAATGCCATGCATTTCACAACTGTCTTAGAAAGGTTTACACTCCAGGATAACAGGATATTTTGTTATATAGTGGACATTCTATTACCCAAGAATTTCAACTCCTGTGGCTTGGTAATTGTGCCAACACAATTGTCATTGTTAATTCTGTTGTGATATATTGTGTCACCCTAGCATTTGATTTAGTGACCAAAAAGAGTCTAACTTCACTGACTCAAAACTATTAACTGTAGTATACTATACATAAAGGTTGTAAATTAGATTTACAATACACATGTTACAACACACAAGCAGAAACATATTGGGGTTCCTGTGAGAGTTTATATTATGAACTAGTGAACAAGCTATCGAACAGGCCTCCCTCCCCCTGGCAGATCTCTGACTGTGATCCCAAGAGGTCCATGTCTTACTCAACTCTGTTTATGGTCAAAGGCAGTGGATCCTTGCCTGGAAGGGCTTTCCCAGTTAAAGGAAGGTTAGTCTATTTCAGTTCTTATTAGACAACCACAAGTAAACATAATGAGCGAGGTAGCACAGGGTCATGGGTTCAACTCCTCCACAATCAGCAGCAGACAGACAGTAGCTCAGACATGGATGCCTAGAGCACACAGCAGACAGGATCTGACTGAACCAGTTTAGATGACACATAAAGAAGAAGGAGACGCATTTTTTAAGGATTTTTTTTTTTTTTACTTTTTGTTCATATTTGATTTTAAATTTGGCTCTTTGGCAGTAATGTTTTACATTTCCTAATCAGGATATTTACAATAAATACACTAGAAACATAATTTTCCTAAAAAACATACCAAATAAAATAAATTATATGAATGCAGTCAAATATGTATTCATGCTTAGAAGTTTTCAGTAATACATAATATACATATGGGTATATACAACTATTAACATTATGTTTTGGCTTTTTTGGCTGCATTTTATCACAGTGCAACTGTTAAAACCATTTAAATAACAATTATTAAAAATAGGTCAATATATCAATAAAGAATCTCTTGTCTCTTTGAGTTGTCTCCATTTAAGTCCCAATAAAAACAGTGGAAAAGGAGGGAGAGAAAGAGGAGAGCAGATCAAAGACTTGTGACTGTCACCAAAAAAAAGGTTCATTCTGTAGACTATTCTCTGAGCTTTTCTGCTTCATCCAAAAGCAGATGCAATGAACAGTAGTGAATTCAAAATCGGACAAAACATCCACAATATTGAAGAGAAAATCTTTATCCATGATGGCACTTACAGTTCTAATGCAAGTGAGTGACCAATCAGAGTAAGATGACTTTAAATCAGAAAACAAAAGGAGAAGGGAAACAATATGGAGAATAGTCTGTGGTTATGTCCTGTGCTTCCTACTCAACCTTTATGCAAAAAGGGACCCACATTTGTATTCAAACAGAGCGGCCCCTTCACCCTCCCGATGCTCTCTCCTTGCCCTCTACTGTGTACATTAAAAGCCCAAGTAGAAGCAGGTGTCAGCCAATTAAATATATACACTTCCCTGTCTTTTATTCTGCTGCACACTTACTGAACATCTATGAATAGTGCCCTCTTAACTCCTTTCAATTCACATTCAAAGAGCGTTTTATTGGCACAAGTGATGTGTTACAACTGATTGTGTGAGGGGAGCCCACCCTAGCACAACCAAACAGCTCAGGCAGAGCCCACTTGTACCACTGCCACTTGAGTCCTTCCCTGCATTAGGGAAGAATTGGAATCTGGGTGTTAAAAATACTTTGTCTCAGGCAATGACCATTTTTAAAAGGCGACAAGATGCGTGGACAGGGAGGGGGGAGTAGGCGAGCGCTCTGTCATGTTTTCATTAAAAAGCCACGCTTCACTGTCTCTTCCTCCTGCCGCCTGCTCCTCTAAACCAATTCTGACTGCTTACCTCATCTTTCAATCATTTCTTGTGTGCTAAATAAAGTGGGGTCTCTAACACAAAGTTATGGGACCCCGAATAACAACAGGGGGGACGTGCAGTGACAGCAGTCCAGCAGTTTCCATGTCTCTTATGCCTCGCTGGTTGCTATGTCCCAATTTGCCCTGTGTGACTTTCAACAGTAAACACTGGGGGAGGGGCGTTGATCCAGGGGTGAGTGTGGATGCCAACTATCACACATTGACCAAGTCGGAGACAGGACGTAACTCTCAGTATGCAAAACAGCACATCTGTGTAGATATAACTCAATGCAGAGCTGCAGTGATGCCACGTTCCAGTCCATAAAGCCGTCCAGCAGAGACAGGCAGACGAGGCCGCATAAAGCTAAATGGACCATCCCAGATAGAGGGACTGAGGAGATTAAGCATCAGTAGAAACATCAGAGGAAACGAGGGATGGAGGGAAGAGGGTGGGAGGATGGAGAGCCAGAAGAGGAATGGGAAGAGATGTAGAAATAGAACTCCATTATTCATGAAGAGTGTTT